CCACCTATTTCCTATAAAATGCTATAGTTAATTATTTCAAACTAATTTCTAGCTAGGATAGGTTGAAGGAAACCTAAAATTTTAATGTTTTTAATAATAAATAAAATAAATAAAATAAAAAAAATTATATATTTTCTATACATTATATAAGAACATAAATTATAAATGTTATATTCTTAGTTGATTCTCAAAAAAGAACATATTTTCTAAATACAATGTTTTTAAATTTTTTTAAATGTTCTTGAGAACACTGAGAACATCAGATATTTAACACTAGTACTATTTAGCATTTGTGCTTAACACCTTTTTGGTACCTTTTTACCTAGCATATTGTGCTGTGCCTATAAAGTACCTGGCATTTGTGTTCATGTTTATAAAAATACCTGGCATTTGTGCCTATGCCCATAATAATTTCTGAACTTTTGTGTTTATAGGTATGGGTATAGCACGAGACACTAGTGTCTGGCATGGTGCCAATTTGCCTAGCATGGGCATTTGCAGGGCCCTAGTCGATACTATCAAATTACATACTGTCTAATCAGTATACTCTCTAAGTGTATAAAAAAGAATGGCTTTTAATTATTAACACCAAAATGGTTCTTATAACTTAAATGCATGTACTGTCAATATGCATAAAAAAAAGTCTCTGACGGATAGCATGCAATTAGACAGTATCTACTACATCTGCTCTTAAATTTGATTGGTCAATTATGTGAGAGCGACGCATAAGACGCATCACGCAGCGCGATAAATAAATCTACTCAAAAACCCACATTATAAAAATATTAATAATATACCAGTTAATATATTTTTAAATAACTTTTTTAAAATAATACTTTATAATACTTTAAAAATAATATTTTAAAATAAACAGCAACATTTTGTATTTAATTTGCTGATGAATTTCTTAAATTAGAATATGTATAATACTTTGTGCGCAAGCAAAAAACGTCACTCAATCTTAATGCTTACTAATTAATTATAATATAAAACAAAAAATAACAATTTGATTACTAAGCGATAAGATAAGAAAAGAAATAATTTATAATATATAGAAATTTATTTTATATTTGTAATTTAAGGTAATACAGGGCAAAATAATCTTAAAGCTAGACCACTTTAACACCTTCGCATGAGATAAAGTAACTTACGATACCCGTTACATTGTCAAGTAAATTGATAAAACTTATCAGTTATCAATGGTTACAGATAGGGTAGGGGGCACGGCAAAATTGTTGGTCATGCCTCCTGGGATACCTCTGGTTTGTCAGATAAACTCAATTTGACAGAGTAAATTTGTTCTTGCATGGTTTCGACATAAGTAAAATTAGAAATGACAAGAATAAATATAAAAATAAAAATACTACAATAAAAAGACAACATTAGATTTCCATTTTACCGACACTCGCGGATAATCCGAGTAATCCGAGTTTGATTGGATCGCAAAAATTGAGAATAAGTACTAAAATGTAAAGGTTTACTATTTTTAACGAGTTTAACACAATTGATAGATTAGCGTTAGATGAATTATATAGTTATCAAATTACGTTACACGGCGAACGAAAGACTTGAAATAATTGTTAATGCATGTTTATTTAAGCACGCACCAACGTGTGTACCATGGGAACAAACAGTCATCAAAATAAAATACTACGTATTCGAATGAGATTGTACCCAAATATAATAAATATATATGTTTATTGTATAGTATATAAGATATAATGTCAGTTACACGAATTCTAGAATATGCAAACAAAATGTTCTTGCTTAATTCATATAAATCAATGCGCACGTGGTAAACTTCGCGAATTTTCTAATTTAGAAATGTTTGTAACATACACTAAAATTAGAACAATAAAAAAATAAAAATAGAATCTATTTCTTTAATCAATATTTATACAAATTGAACAAAGAATAATGAATATATGTACAAAATAAATACAAGATGGATAATAAATAAACAAATGTCAATGAAAAAAATGCCATATCTATTTGAAAAAGCCAATGAATACTTGATCATTGGACCATTAGAGCAAATTATCAACTTTACTATTGTGGAGCTAATATATCCGAAGTACAAAAGATCGCGTTGTCAGGTAAGAAAATGTAATAGTTATTTGAATCGAGATTTACATTTTCAAAGGTTGCTGGCTCGAAAGACGACGTATCTTGTATATTTTGATATGATAATGCATATGGAAAGTCATAATAATTGTTACTAAATTGCATGAATTCTAAAGGTTCGTGTCTATAGTCAATAGAGTTATGAAAAGATTGATTTATATCACTGCTGCCGCTGATGTGTCCAGGATTTGAGTAAAAGAGATCTGGTTCTGTTTTTAATAATTCATTATTAGTAGCATCAGGTATTGATTTTGGTTTAAATTGAACAATATTCCAAAGATCTTTTTTTCTTTTTCTTTTAGATGCTTTTGGAAACATTTCTTTTCTTTTAACGTAAGTCTCCCTCGCAATTTTTTTATAAGTCAGTTTAACAACTTCATCTTCATTCTCCCAAGCTCGAGAACATAATGATGAAATTACTGTCATAGGTAGGAAATAACCATTATCTCGTGCAGCTTTTACAAATTGTTTCCTGTAAATTATGAATGCATTCGGAGCTCGAGATGGAAACAGTTGAGTACCATCTGAGGATTCTCTAAGTGAAATTAAATCTTCAACATTGATAACTGGTGGGAATGGAGGTCTAATTGTTGGAAACGTTTCCGAATCAGGCAACGCTTTAGGAGGTGTTTCTATAGATGGAGAATTTGGAACAGTATTTGCAGTATCGCACATTGTTAACTAGTTGAATATTCTGAAAAATTCTGACATGGAACCCACGAGCATTTTTATATATTTATTGGTTTCTGAATGTCATTTTGCCGTAACAATTTATTAATGATGAATGGTACTACAGAAGATGATAATCGATAAAAATAGATTTGATCACAACGCTGAGATCCGACATTTTGTCCAAATTTGTCACTTAAAAAATTATTTCGTATGTACAGTACATTCGCAAGACCACAAAGAAATTCATTCGTTTATAATGACAAGCTCGTAAATCCTTAATAAAACTATTTTTATAATATTGCGCCTCAGACTCACAGACTGCGAATTTTATTATTGTTTGCAATTGATCCAGGTATCACTTACATAAGTACATACGGTAGAAGAGCATTACAATTCCAATAATCATTGATCAAACTTGCACAAATATTTTTCTTCTGAGTTTTGGCCTTTTATCCTTTTTACACAAATTTGGTGTAGTTAATATTAGAAAATCGTCTCAACGCATGATTTAAACTAATAATAACTAATAGATAAAGGTCCGATTCTTAAATATATACATAGTTTAAAATGTGCTGCAATTATGTATGTATGTTAAACAAATCAGCGTAGTAAAATGTTATCGTGTCAATTAAAAATCAATTGAAACTTCTTAAAGGATTAACGAAAAACAAAACAATTATATGATGCGATCTTAAGTTCAAGCTAAGAGTTAAGTGAATCAGTGAATTAGTGAACTAGAGTAGTAGGACCCTGAACAATACCAACAAAGGTCATATTTGAAAAATAGCTAACAGTAGTTAACATTTTACAAAATTAAGAAATTTGATTGGCTAAAAAATTCATAACCAATCAAATTTAAGAATTTATGCTAATGAGGCTCTCGGATCCTAAAATTAGAAAAGAAATGGAATATAAAATCCGGCACAGAGTCCTAAAAAATGACGGAAATATAGTTTTACGTACAACAAGTGATATTTTGTGCGCACGTACTACTTTATACTAAATTTCCTTTTTAGGTTTTTTGTAACAAATAAGTAAATTTCTCCGAACAATCGGATAACCCGAATTTACTAATTCGGACAATAAAAGGCGGATTATTTTCCGCATGCAATTGCACGCAATTACATGCAATTGCAAATGGTATAACCTGTAAATTAAAGTTTTCACTATTCTTGATGTGATGTTATACAAGCTCAAAAAGGATAATTAACCAATCGGAGAACGTAAAATTGCGGACAAGCCCGACACGTGCATAGAGATAGGAAGTGAAAATGCAAGAAAAACGAATGCTTAATTCTGCCTTTGGGCATTAGTTAAAAATGATGGGAATGAAATTATACATATAGAAAGCAATATTTGTCCCTATAATTTCAAACCTTAACTTTCTGACCGTAATCTCACGTAAGTACGTATTTAGTTTTATGTTGCATTTTCTGTGCTTGTATTACTAAAACACTTCCAGTATAATATTACGTTTTAATGTTTAAGGATATTGTATTGTTTATATGAATTTACTAATCAAAAAAAAATTTTACATAATGCAAATACTAAAAATATATTTAATAAAAATTTTTAAAACCAAAATTATTATTTATCATAAGTTACATGGTAAAACTTTACAGAAATGAGATTTTATATAATACAGTCAGAACTTGCTATAGTCACTCCAGATACGTATAATTACATTTTGTTATAATTACATTTTGTTATAATTACATTATCTTATAATTTTTAGATATTATTAAATGGGCAAGTGTTGCGAAATCGACATTTACAAAACCATGATAATAACTCGTGATACAAAACAATAATCGGCATACATAGATATCGATGATTATGTTTACGGAATCACCAATCAAATTACATAATTTTTAATTATTCCCCGGTTCTTATTTATACTTCTATACTATTTTATTGTCCAGTTCTCAGATTCGGGCTGATTATACAGTTATATATTAAATATTTATTTGATGGCGATTCGTCATCGTCAAATAACAAAGTTATTATATGATGATGACGCAATCACCATCAAATAACTCGAGTTATCTGTTGGTACGATCATAATGAGCTATCGAATTTTTTTTTACCTTTTTTAATGTTGCCAAATTTTTTAGACTATTCGAGTTGCTAACGAAAAGTAACAAAGAATAATGAAAGAACATGAAAGATATATTGATTTTGCATTCAAATCATGCTCTGGCACTAAATTATAATTGTCTTAAGAGAATAATTATTATACATCACTTAATTAACAAGCATTTAATATACTGAAATTAAATTTTTATAGTAAAAACTCATCATTATATTCTAAACTAAGATTCTTTTATTAAAAATAATTTATTAATAAAAATTATTAGAAGTCTCCTTCAATATACATTCCCATTCAGAAAGGGTTATCGATAGGATGAAATTGTTTTATGAAGAGCTCTAGCCCACCTATTAGGCCAATATTATTGTCCGTCGCTACGCTCCGGACACTCAATGTTTAGCACCCTACTTTCTTATATACTTTTTGTTAGAGCATTAAAGATATACCGATTCTTGAGAAATAAGCGATTTTGGACAAAACGAACATTGGGTTTAAAATTTCCTGATCGTGTTACGTTACACCTTTCTTGAAATCCGATTTGTGGATCTGAGCCACAATTCCAATTTTTATGTATTAAGTGACACCAAATGACGTTTTTTTGATGCATGTCGATCAAAATTAGTCACTTTTTTTTGATGCATCTGCATGGAAATTTTTTGTCCGCACGCGTGTCCATATTTATACTTTAATGTAACGAAAATAAATATACATATTCACTCGTTTGTGCGAATTAACCTAGTTACGTATAAAGAAGATCTAAGAAAGTTAGGTAGTATTCACGCAAAGAGCATCTGCTAACGCTTTTCCTCCCTCGGATCCAATACTATTATCTGAGACTTATCCATGGCGGCTCCCAAAGTGCCAGTGATGTAAAATCAATTAGTGCAACTTATTAGTTCTCTTCAGCTGCATCTTGTAAATCACAGCAATTGTACGTAATTCAATATCGATATTTCAATATATATTCCGGGTGCTTCAAAAGTCCCACTCCTGGTCCCTATTTTTTCAGTATCTAAAACTTTTTTTCTTACTAAGTAAACTGTTGTCGGGGCTCTAAGTAAAGTTGTAGAGCTCATCAAGACACAACTAATGGTGGATAATTATTTATACAAATATGTATATAAGGTCACTGAAAAAATAGGGACCAAGAGTGGGACTTTTGAAACACCCGGTATATATATTGTGGATGCACCATGATTACGTCACTGGCGCTTTGGGGATGATTCATTATCTGACAGATTAAAATTAAAAAAAAAAGTGTAATGTTTTTGCAAAGAGCATTTGCTAAGGCCATCCCACCTATTGGGCCGATATTGTTATTAGAAAGATCTAAGAAAGTTAGGGTAGTATTCACGCAAAGAGCGTCTGCTAATGCTTTTCCTCCTTTGGATCCAATATTATTCTCTGTCAGATTAAGAATAGAAAGTGTGATGTTTTGCAAAGTGTATTGCTATCGCCTTCACGCCTTCAGGCCCAAGATCATTTGATTGGAGATCCAAGGCAAAGCTCATCTCACAGCAAAGGTCCTACTCTAAAATCTAGTTCATTATATGAAAAATCTAAAGAAGCGAGGGTAGTATTCACATGGGCAGCTTCGCAAATTCTATTCCTCCTTTTCTAAAAAATGTTATTACCTTTAATGTTTAAAGAAAATAAGGTGGTGTTTTATATAGTGACTTGGCTAATTCTTCTCCACCTTTTGGTGAAATTTGATTATAATCAAGAATCAAGAAATCAGAGTGGTGTTCTCACAATCGCATAAGCTAATGTTTTTGCTCCTCTAACCGAAATTCGATTAAAGTATTATTTTTGCAGAGTGCTTCGCCTAATGCTTTTCCTCCTTCACTGATATTATTTTTTTTTTGAGGTATAGTGAAGTTAAGGAATTATTGAAGCAAAACGCTTCTGCTATTGCTTTGCTTCCCGTAAGCCTGATATTGTTTTCACTAAACTCAACGTAATTAATGTTTTAAAGACCCTTGTCAGTGCTTCTCCGATATTGAATCGAGATGGCTGCCACGTGGTGTTTTCTTCTATTGAGACAGAAGATACTCAAAGATCATTGTGTCGTGGAGATGAAGGGTTAAAAGAACCGTACCATTACTATTATTTCTTTTAATAATTTTATCTTCTCAGAACTGAAATTGTTTCAAATATTTCTTATGATTGCCTGATCGTAAATTGTTCTATTGATCTTAAAATATTTGAAATTGTTATTTGTTCGTAGAAACATCCCTATTAATGAACCTTTTAGGGTGTTTCTTAGATCAAAGTTGGCATCAGCAACAACCAATTTGAAAAATTCAAATGCAGACTTGGACCTCCTGGAAATGTAATTTTAACGGGATTAGTAGTCTCTGCTCTTCTGCATTTAATGTTAAGAGACATATTCTTATATGTCTCTTATCATTTAAGTAATCACTAGCTTCGCTCCATAAAATTGGTGCTGCGGTCGTCATAAGAAAACATTCGTATGATTGGCAGAATTACCATTTCGTGAAATAAATCTGAATTTCTATTTTGTTTAATTAATGTTGCATGAATAAAAAAGACAACACTGTAACGAACACCAAAAATAACAGGAAGATTACCATGGACCAAAATATTTAATCTAAAAGCAATAGCCTGACCCTCTTTTGCGTGTATTATTAACTTTAAATTACGTTTGTTTGGGCAAACTTGGTTCGCCAAAATTTTGTCACAGTAAGTAAAAATTATTTTGGTGATTATGAATTAACTGGGATTAAAATCTCTTAATCAGTAAACCCGTATAAATTTGAATGATAGACAACTATCAAAATATTTATCCTATTTTTATGTAATCCAGAAATACACACAAATGCCTAAAATAATTCGTGAAAATATTTCGCATTTAGCTTTATTCTGGGGTAGTGGAAGCTAAAACGACATTTGCAAAATCGTACATCAATATACTGATAGTCCAAAAAAGCATCTAAACTTATTGATAAATATTTGTGGGATCAAAATTTTGTAGTCTTCGATTTTACTAAAGCAGTAGATGATCCTTTAAGTATACGTCTTGGTTGGGATACCTCTTAAAACTTTCTAATGAATAGAGCGTAATTTTAAAGATACATGTTTCATAATACTTATATAAAGAATTAAACACGACTCATCATCATTATTCCAGAATTACGAGAAGGCAGAAGTATAACAATCAAATAATCCATTATTTATTGTCGGGAATGATGCTGAAATCGGATGATGTTGAAATTTGGAGTCTTAATTTAAAACTACTAAAATCCACCTATACTCTTTTATTATAAACACTATCCCTAAATCTAATCGAACTATAAAAAAAAAAGCTAAACAAAGCACCCCAAAAAATTTTTAAATTTTCATAATAAGATAAGTCAAAATTTCAGCATCATCACCGACATTTATTAACACAAAATTATAATGCATCCTACTCACCACTTTTTATATTATTGAGAAGCTGATCATATCCAGTTGATTTGGAATCGGGGTGGATGTGTAAATAGCATGAGTACTCAAGTTCGAAGAAATAGCTGAGCTACCAGGGTAAAGTTAATGTAAATAAACTCGAGAATATATCATATAAGGATTTTGTGCCTCATAATGTGCAAAAAATATATAAAACAGATATCACCGCGAAGCAAAATATTATACATCTAGATAAGTTATATAGGTGGGTTAATCATGACGAAAAAATGTCGTGGTGACGTGATTGGTGACCACTTCCGACCCTGATAATACAAATTACGTATTACATTGAAATAATTATTACAGTATTAGTCTTTCATACATAATACATAATTTGTATTATCAGGCATAATACATAATTTGTATTATCAGGGTCGGAAATGGTCGCCGATCACGTCACCACGACATTTTTTCGCCATGACTAACCCACCTTATTTTACATAATTTGTGGTATAGATCTGTGCGACATTCGATTTCCCAAAATTTTTTCCAATTCCATCTATTCACTCTTTTTAACCATGTCTAACGTCTATGAAGCAATCAAAATACTTGATTCAAAAGAGGAAAGAACTGCACTACGAACCCTCTTCACTAATAATCCAGAAAAAAGAGCTGAAGCGGAACGCATCCTTCCTACATGTGAAGATAACGAAGAGGTAGTTTCTTATTTCAAAGATCTCCTAAAACCTGGTATGTTCTCTTTTAACGTGTCATATTCACCAATAACACCGAATACTAACTTAATCTTATTATCGAACCTGCCTCAAAAAACACATTCACATTATCGTAGAGCGACCTGTTGCCGGTAAGTCGTAATAAATTTAGTCGATGGAATGAACGCATCTTGGCTTGATTTTCGATAGCCGTTACTTCATCCTCGTTACGTCTGATATATAGAATCACCTAGTAAACGAAGAAAATACGATGAATACGATGACGACGACGAAAAACTGGAAAGGTTTTGGAATGCTTTGAAGGACGGGAAAGTTGAGGAGCATGATGGTGGCCAATTTCTTGAATTATCCAGGGACGTTTCCTATCTTCTAGGCAAAGATGAACAAGGTTCCAATATATCTACTCTGTTCATCCGTGAATGTTATCACCACCTGAGTAATATTATTTTTAAGAATGAAAATACCCGTTGGCGTATTACTGGCAATCCGGGAATTGGGAAAACCTTCTTCGGTTATTATCTACTTTATCTCCTTTCACAACAACGTAAAACAGTTGTATATCACAAACATAACAAGTCTCCGATTCTCTTCAGTGAGGAAGGTGTTTTCAGTCACACCGAAGACAATATTCATGCATTCAAAGGTTACTTGGGAAATGAAGAAGTTTGGTATATCGTGGATGGTAGGAAACCGATGGAATATGTCGCCAAGACAATTCTCATCTGTTCGCCCCAAAAACGCCACTACAGTAGCTTTGACAAGCTTGGAACAACTATTCGGTACATGCCGGTGTGGTCTTGGGAAGAGATTAATGCATGCAGGATTAAGCTTTTCCGTAATCTTACTCAAGAATATGTTCGGAAATTATACAATGAATGGGGTGGAATTCCTCGGTTTACCTTGTTTTATGCTCTCAATGATTATCAGCAAGATCTTCTTCAAAGGGCAATTAATTCGGTTGACGATAATCTGTTAAATTTTGTTGGTGAGACCACAGATGATAATAGCGCCAGTCATAAAATCGTCCATATCTGCACGAACATACCAAAAGGAGAGGACGAAGGAGAGGATGGAGAGGAAGGAGATGAAAGTGTAGAAGATGTGGAAATAACGGAAGTAGAAGATAATCCTGGAGAGCCCTCTACGTCACCAAAATCTCCCACAGTAACTAGACCAGATAAAAGAAAAAGTGTTATAGGGAAGGAAAAACCTTTCTATTCAATGTTAACTCTAGAGTTTGCGTCCGATTATGTTTCTGAAGAGATAATGGATAAACTCATAAAGAATTATAGAGTCCGGTTGGAGAATTTCGTGAAGGCTAGCTCATCGATAAGTGATTACAGTACACTCCGGGATGCTATATTCGAGCGGATCGCTCACAGAAAGTTATTAAAAGGAGGATTGTTTAGGACTCGCCCTTTATTCGCGTCAACTGTCTCTTGCCTCGGGGTGAATAATTCAAAACTATCAATACCCACTCGGAACAAACGGCTGTTTAGTGACATTAGTGAGATTGCTCCTAACATGTATTGTATTCCAACTCAAAAGAATAACGCGTCTTTTGATGCGTTCGTTTTTCCCGACACATTCTTCCAGATGACTGTTTCTGAGAGTCATCCTATCATAAAGAGTGGGTTGGAAAAATATATTAATAAGAATGATAATTCGGATATCAAATTTTATTTTGTCTTACCGAAGGAAATGTATAACTCTTACCAAGAGCAGGTCCTTTACACCACAAAGAGAACTGTTCTCAAGAGTAGGCCACCTTGGATTAATCTTAAGCAATATGCTCTGGAAATTGACCTGAAATTGTAGTTTTTGTTAAAAAGATTAGTTTATGTTTTCATATGGATCTTGAATTGGGTTGATAGTGTTTCTCTTTTCGAGCTTGTAATTTTTAACTATATGTATGCGTGTATGTGGCGTGGGATGTGCATCGAAAAATAAAAAAAAATTCTTGGCAAAAGCCACTCCCTAAGGAAAAATGTCTTGGTAAATAAATGGCATTACAAATTGTAATGCGCACATGATAATACTCCCAGTGATAAGAAATTTTAGGTTTAACTCCTCATAAACTGAAAAATCCTGAGACTCGAGAACAGTTTAACCTATGACGTAATAAATGGATAGCAATTTATAAAAATCAACCTGTTATAGCAATTTGGGATTATTAATAGAGAATAAAGAATACATCACCTTCACACCATTTGAGTTAAAAAACAGCTGTTACAGGATAGATTTCAAAAGCAACTTTTAGAATTACAAGCATAGAAAGATATCACTTTATATATTTATATATTTATTTATTTAGATGAGAATATGCAAAAAATATTTTCTATAAACATATTATTTAACTGCGTTAAATATCTATTTAGGTTTTTTATCTTGTATATTAATATACAATATATCAGATATATATGTACATAGACCGCTTAAAATTGATTATTATTATTTAAAGTGCCGTTATTGGTTATTTGTCCTATCTATATAGAGTTTGGAACTGGTTTTTATTTTTCATATCAGTCAGCCGACATGTCGGAGAGTTTATATGTTAGATTTGCATACTTATTGATCAAATTAATAGACGTACCTA